AAAACACAGAAAAAATACTTAATTTTGGTCATGAAAAGCCCACAAGACAAGTGCTACAGACATTACATTAATGGCTTGGGAGGTTTTGTTTTATAATTTATCTATCCAAAGAGGTTAAGCACTGATGCTTTCATTTGTTTTCATTATGCTGCTTATGATAAGGCTCCTAAAAGAACATCATAGCAATGCCCAGAGTAGTGAAATGTGACACAAGAACTAAAAACACATCTGGAAAATGTATGCTTAATATGACAAGTACACTTAGACTACTAAATGCTTAACCCTTTGGCTTCTTCTCTCTACAGCAACGGTCTTGCTGATGTGTTACTTAGAAGAATTATGATTTTATCAGTGCTTCAAAGTTTGCTAACTACCTCATTTCTAAGAAATGTTATATTGAGCCTGGAACCAAACYTTAGCATGCACTCTGCTCAGCAGAAATCTTTGGCAAAGCAGAGTTCTTGCTACATCTAATTAGCATTTCCTCTCATTATAAATAATTGTTCCTCATTTTCTACTAATTCTTTCTATGCTGTTGAAACATTTCCAGTAACAATAAACAAACCTGAGGAAATTGTTTCATGATCCTTCCATATGTCTGCTTTGTTACTGCTGCCAYCTACCCAATTCTCTGTCATAGGGTCCACAGTTTATTGAAACTGGTTCTAAATAGAATTTAAATTATAAAAATGGTCAGAAGTTCAAGCTGGTACATAAATGTGGTCATTGGATAGTTTGAAAAAATGTTTCTTGAATGTTTCTTGAATTGTACTTTATCTTCTTTGGATAAGGCTTTGATTTCTGTGTGGAATTTTGAGCTATTACTTGTAATGGATAAGCTTTAGTTCAAGAGAAAACCACAAAAATTAGTAACTGTATATAAGCTATATGTTTAGGGCTCCTGTGTAATCAAGGGAGATATGGTCAATACAATCACAGCTATTGAAAAAGCTACTCAGAAAAATACCCAGTAAGGGTAAGTTTCTGGTACTATATGAGATGTCTTGCTTTGGTCACCTGCTGTACTCCACATGGTCATACATCTCCTTTGAGTCCTGTGTCATATCTGCCATGAAGATCCTTAAGACAACAACGGCATTTGGAATGCACTATAAGTCTATGTTGGGGGATAGAAAGTTTTCAGCCTTGGTGAGTGGAATCCATTTCCAGGTTTCCCTCAATTCAACTCAATTCAATTCAGTTGAACTGACTCGGTTGAACTGTTGTTAATTTGTCCAGAGTTTAGATAGTCTAGATGCTCTAGACAYATATGTTTAGGATTTATAATCTTAAACTCAAACTACAACTGGCTTGTGTTTTTTTCAGACAGAGAGATTCATCTCACTCTGTGACACTGCTGTATTTAATAACATTTCTGTCATCATGATGCCACAGGGAGATTAGACATTACTGAAGCATTCTTGATGAAAGATCTTGCATTTCCTATTTTCCTCTTACCCTACGACAAAAAGGTCATTTTTTTTTGTTGTTGTTGCTGAGATGATAGATTATGAAATTCTTATTTCTAAGGATGATTCAGAGGTAGAGGTAGATCTGGAGTCTAGAACTTGGCAGAGCTCAACTCAAGTTGCTGCTCTACAAATTATTCTTGGGTGACTATAAATATGCTACTTAGCTTCTCAATTTTTCGTTGSACTCTGACAGATTTCTTGAATTGGAAATTCAAGACAGGAATTTGGATATATGAGACTTTTTGCTTTTTACTATTCCTGGAGAATAGGGAAAAGATGCACTGTTTTTTAATATTATAAATGAATTGTCTGGCATTAAAATTATTACATCTAAAGCACCTGGAATCCCAGACAGGCATTTCTAATAGTAGTTAGGAAAAAGTAAGTTACACAAAATGTTTCAAGCTTAACTATATAATCTTAAGAATCAAAATAAAATTGTAATGGTGCAAATGCGCATGATAATGGTTCAGCTTCTATGTGCTGTCATTCTTTGATGTATTTGCTAAAATTAATCAGTCAAAACAGTTCTCCTCCTTTGTTGAGTAATGAAAGGGGCACTCCCACAGATTAATAGACTTTTAACATACRAATTGGAATTTACCTTCTTCACTGCAGATGAACCACGAGTGTTAAGTGTCATCAATTCTGTTGTGCACGGAAGGACAAAGGTGCTAAATTTCTACAAATTCATATGTTATTTTCTTTGACATATGCATTTGTCAGCCTATTTCCCCGGTAAAATCTCTTACGTTAATGTTTCTGCTTTTTTAAAGAGAAATGTGAACATTGTCTTGGTAAACACTTTAAACCTGGTCTGTTTCCTAGAACTGGAAGAATTATTCAGAAAGTAAATTGATTTTTTTTTTCTTCCTTTAATTGGTATCCTCTAAATTCTTTCTCAGTCTTGGTTGTATAACTTCATTGGTAGTATTTGCCATCATTAATTTCAGGAAGATTTCCCCATCTTTTTTTTTTCAGGTTGTTCAGCAACCATGTTGTGGCTGTCTTAGCTGGCACCATCTGTTCTTTATTAGGTTTACTCATTTTGACTCATTCTATGGTCTCACTAACACCACTTTTTGTGCAGTAATGGTATTTTGTCACTGACTTGACTGTCATTTTCTGATTAACTTTTCTAAGTATGTTGAAAGGACTAGAAATAATCCTTTTTTTTTTTCTGTATATTGCAGATGGTTACACTCATTTTTTTTCATTTTTTTCTCCTTATTTCTCCTTTTCTCCCTTTTCTCCTTTTGCTTGCAAATATCATTGATGATTTTTCCTTCATTCTTGCTTATTTTATCTACTCCTWTCCTTGGCATGGACTTTAATGAGGACTTTACTTAGCATGGCTTCATTGGCTGTTCTTGGTAACTGACACTGCATTTCAAGTCATTGACTCATTTCTTTCAGAACAAAATTGACTGCACACATGTGTGTGATTGTCTAAGGTCTCCTTAGTTATCACATTTGAGATCTACTACCACTCCTTTGTTATGTGCCATTGCTTCCTATTTGAGAACTTATTACTACACCAGGAGCGGGTCAAGGCACTCTCATGCCCTACAAGGAACTCTCACGCCCTACGACCTTTCATAGTTGCAACATACTTCTTGCTACTGTGCTTSCTAGGATTGATTGCTCATATATTTTTTTTTCCCTACATTTAGACCAGTAGTTGCGCTGTCTGCCTGTTAGACTTGGAAACAAGTAATTAGGTAATAACCACAAGTGATGGAAATAAAWGAAATCTCATGAGTTGGCCTGTTTTTAGGGAAATACAGCTCGATTTTAGAGCTGTGAACATAATACTCTACAGCCCTGTGTCATAATAGTCTTTAAATCTTGTCACAGGATGACTGAGGAAATAATGATAGCAATCTAAAGTGTGACTAACTAGTAAAATTTGCCCTCTGAACTTTCTGAGATGTTAAATTGGACTCTTCCTCTTGAGAAATTACTGCTTCTCAGATTAAATTAAGGACTTGTGGTAATTCAAAATAGCTGAGAATTGTTCCCATTGTGTTCAAACAATGAGATGACAGTTTTTAACATTAACATAAATAAATATGTATTTCATTTCTGAAGAAGGAAAATTGGATGAATGAATCATCCAACATTTATTCCTGCAAGGACAAATGGTGTTTTAAAAATTCTTGTATAAACATGTAAAGGAATACCTGCAGCTACAGCATAGGCATTGGTCCTGGACAGCCTGGATAAAGGTATGGTAATAAAATTAGTGATGATATTTTATACCTATTTAACACCTTTCATCACAAAGTACATTATCAAACATTAATTATTTGAGTCTTAGAACATGTCTGTAAAAGTCTATTATACCATTGTACAGATTGCACACGGAGATTAAATGGCCTGGGTTAGGCCACACAGCGAGTGAGCAGCAGAGCCAAAAGGCGAGCATGAGCGTTGGCTCCCAGCCCCATGCTCCAACTACTGGACTTCACTTCCTTAATACTTAATTCCCTTATTGCTTCTCTAATAGCAATGAATCTATTGAACATTTCAGAATTTGGAAAGTTTGGTGCAAAATCAGATCGATCGTATTTCTCTCTCCTGTCTCATTATGGACATCATTATTGCATTTTTAGGGGCCACATCTTGCGCATTATCCCAGGTCGCCTAGCCCTGGTGGGAGCAGCCTGACATAGCGTTGCTCCTATGCCCTGTCCCCAGTATACAATTGCTGGCTTTGCCTTGTGAGCTTTCTGCATGGTCTCTCTGCTCTGCCCTTAGCTCTGATGTGTGAGTGGCTAGACCGATTTGCACCTAAGTAATTCCAGCTATAGGGTAGTTAATGTGAAACAGATGTTTCCCAGGCATTGGCAAGAGCTTCCCATCCTGCTGTTCCTACACTTTACACACACAGATGTTCAGGTAACTCACATATTTGCTAGTCACAACCTTCCTTGGCTTTTGTGCCACTACTTTGAGTGCATGTGCCACAGGAATGTGAACAAGGCAGGGAGGTAGAAGGAAGGCAGGGAAGGGGTGGCAAATCAGGGAGGAGAGATAGTACCCTGAGCATCTGTAGCTYTCAGTGATGAATGGAGCAAACGCTGCTCTTTTGTGCTGCCCCTAGCATGTCCTGTTGCTGCCAGATATTGCTCAGTGGGAAAACACACTTGTAATGAATTCACATCGGCCCCTGCGAGCACTCATTCACTGTGCTGCCCACGGTATTGACAGTGTTGCATATGTCCCACTGCCTGCATCACAAACAACTTTTTTTTTTTTTTAATTTCTCTGTATTTCATGCTGCTATTTGCATATTCAGGAAGCAACATAAAATAACAGTAGCAGAGCCAACGTGATGCTGAAGAAGTGAGGTAAAAGCAAGCCGCAAGAACTAAGGCAGGAAGTACTGAAAGGCAGTGTCCTGCATGTTGCCTTCTTGTACTATAGGAACTGGGGGTGTGACCAAGTTTTCAAACCACCTCCGCTCTGAGATGCCACCCAATGGCTACACGAGCGCTTTGCTGAACTCCTCCCCTCTCCTTTTGGCAGAGCAGAGCCCTTCAGAGAAACTGCCTGTTCTGCATCATACAGACTGTAACATATAAAAGCTCTTAGCAGATCCTGTGGCCAGAAGCTTCAAAACCAGCAGGGCTCGATTCTTTGGGGGTTAGTAGTAAGAGACACTCCTTCACCAAGGTGCATACACCCCGTAGGAGAGTGGGGTGAACACACGGGGAGAACAATAGCCTGTGTTCTTTTTTGGTATTATCCAGAGGTAAGCCATTCAGCTCAATAAGCTTGCTTTGCATGCAGTTTTATCGATATTCACATTTTGTTGAATATAAGATTTTAGTAGTATTTCTAAGATTTCCTGCTTTCATGACTTGTTATGTTTTGGGGTTTTTTTGCCTACTATTTTATTTGTGTGGCATTATCAACTCAATTTAGGCATATAAGAAAGGCATAACCTGAGATGTATTTTTCGTTTTTAGGGCATAACACCTGTGAGGTTTCTAACAGTCCCCCCAGTTATGAAATACAATGTCATTTTACTGTGTGGTAGCACTGCCACTCTTCCAGGAATATTAGCTTTGATCGTGGCATTCATGGTATAGTGGTATTTCATTTGGTATGTTTATAGTAAAAGCATGTTATCCTTTAATCATAATATGTCCAGTAACACGTGTTCTGACTGGAGGGCTTTTGAAAGTAGGTTGGGAGACAGAAATCGTTTGTCTGATCACAGTCTGCCAATTCACTCAGTCTTGCTATCTAGATGTACAGATTCACAACCCTGACATCTTTTTTTCTGCAGATCTGTTTTCCACTGTCCTGACTTAAAGCTGAACACCTCGGTGGCCATTCTTCTTTGGCCCCAAAATGACAGTAATCCCTGCAATCAGTTGTGCTTTCTTATTTTCCATTCTCTGTAAAACAAGTGCAGTAGCATTACCCAACTCCACTGAGCTACTCCTGTCAAACAGTAATTTCACTGACATTGAGACGGCTTTGGCAGCTCATCTGGACTCTGCAAAAATTCCCAAAGTCAGGCGGAAGCGATACATTTCACAGAATGACATGATTGCTATTCTTGATTACCATAATCAAGTTAGAGGCAAAGTCTTCCCACCTGCTTCCAACATGGAATACATGGTAAGTGAACTTTGTTTACCTCAGAGAAGGGCAACGTTTTAGAACTGCTAGAATGCATAAGAAAGTATAAATCAGTGATTTCTTACGCTGAAAAATGTAGAATTTTGGTTAAGTACACAAATGACTTTTAACTGTTGCTTCTTACTAAAATGTTCTTCTGCATTTTAAACAGAATTAACTTTAGCAAGCAAAAGTTAAATGCTAAACTCTGAACCTTTTATTCACCTTGTTGAATTTTTATTTCCATGAGTAGTCCCAGGGAAGCTGCTGGGGCCGGAGTGAATGGAGCTGTGAGTTAACTGCTTGTTGGCATGAGGAAAGCTATGTGATTACAGCATGCGATCACACACATTTGAGGTGCTTAGCAGTCCCATTGCAAAACTGCTGTGAAGTATACTGAAAGTCTTTGTCTTGATGTAGCCAAAGAACATTGTTAAATACTTTCACACATAGCACTTTCAGAAATAGTCTGCTAAAACTGTATTACAAAGTAATGCCTGATGGACTGTTTGGCTCATATTCATGTGTTTTACTTACTGCATGTTGTATGTGGACAGCTAATAATTTTTAATTTCTGGTCAAATATGATACTTATTTTAAGTATTTATTTTCTGTGTGGAATTTCAGACTGTCTAACATGCTCTGTTTGTGGTCAGTACCTTTTCTCATTATTGGCAAATGCTCTTGATGTGAATTATCTGTTCCTGCAGGTATGATAACTGTTATTCACTCAGTGTGACTTCATACTTGGCACTAAGATAATAGCTAAGCCAGTGTGTTTGCTATTTTATGTTCCAACTTTGAATGCATGCATTCTGTGGAGCTCTAGTGTTAAAAATAGGTTGGCTAAGCAAAACTTTTTGTACCTTCTAAGTAAGGCATACACAGTCTTTTAAAAGCACAGACAAGTTGTGTTAGCAGCATAATATCTGTATAAATTCACAGAGCATCTCAGTTGACAACAGACAGTTAACAAGTTCAAGAAACAGGACACCACCAGCCAGACATAAAAAGGGGATAATTGTAATAACAAATCCTCCTCCCAAGCAGCTACTGACTAACAGTTTGGACATCTTTCTATCACAGATGTTACCTAAATCTGGATTTGATCATACAATCCGTTTAGCACATCCCAGCAGCACCTCAAAGAGCTGAGTGTGCTCACAGTTTCTTTGCAGGACGAAGGCCTGCAGCCATACCATAATCTGAGTTTGAAATTTGTTTAAGTGGAAAGGTCAGAGACAGAAAAAATAGAGAGGTCAGAAGTCAAGCTCAGTAATCATTGTCAGTGCTGAACTCTGTGCTGACGTTTCCTTTGATTCTGCATAAATAAACTTTGTTGTAATGTCTGAGGGAATGGCAGCCTACCATGTCCTTCCTTTGGCTTATGTTTTTCAGAAATGTACTCTTATAATAAGTGAAGCCAGCACCCTGTCATACTCCCAAGAGTTTAAGTGCAATGCTTTTAGCCAGTTCAGTAAAATACTTTGAAATACTTTGAAAATAAGATTTACTCTGATTAAACCTTTTAACCTTTTATTATTATTATTATTATTATTTTCTTTTAACATACCTGTATGCATACACTTCTCACAGAATTACAGAATGGTTGAGGTTGGAAGGGAACTCTAGAGATCATCTAGTCCAATCCTCCTGCTCAAGCAGGATGACCTAGACCACATTGCACTTCCCTGGTGTTGCAGCTTTGCTCTGCGGTTTGCTACCATGCAAGGTTTGCAACTGGAGCCACACTCTTTATAGCTTGTGTGCCATTCTTTTCACTGGCATTCTGGTTCGTTTACAAGAACCAACACAGGATGTCCTTGTGTTCCTGACAGCATTAGCCAGTGATCACATGGACGGGGACCTTTCTTTCAAGTTTGATTCCCAACTCTTAAGTATTTTATTCTTGCTACAAAGTTTGGAGTGCTACCTAAGGTGATCTCAGGTAATGATGCAGTTTACAACTTGAACATGGCTCTTCAAGTGGCAGTTAAGACAGTTTACACTGACTTGAACAGTTGCAGAATTTAGTTGGTCTGTATTTCCTCATGAAACTTCATGGAGCAAAAAAAAAAAAAAAAAAAAAAAAAAGTCCAGTAGGCAGCATCTCACAGCTTTCTCTGACATCCAGTTTGTGGTGAATGGTGAATGTAGCTTCTCTCTGTCTTTTCAGTTGTGTTGCTATAAAAAGGTTTTGGTTGGAAGTTTTTGAAGATGGCATATGGTATGGCCATATGGCTGGCCAAAGACTGGGGACTCCTGCTATCAGCAATGACCTTTTAAAGTTGGAGAGATGTTGAATCAATTCTTTGGTCTCTGGTTCATTATTTCAGTTTATGGCACTACATCTGTTGTCTATGCAGGGACATAAGATCTCTGCTGTTATGTATAAAAATTTTTATTCAATATTAATTTCCTTAAATAAGATAACAAGCGTACTGTCATCACCAGAAGACAATGAGCACTGTGCTGAAAGAATGCTACAGAATGTGTGTTCCTGGCTTGAAAATTATGGAAAAATGCACTTGTAGTGATTAAAGTGACTTTTACAATTCATCTAACATTAGATAGATTAGAATATTATAACTTTTACAAGTTAGAGAAGTAGAGATAGCTGTTGATGCAGTAGATTTTGAAATCTGCCTGTAAGTATATTGAAATAAGAGGACTAGGCAATCTGGAAGCACAAGAAAAAGATATCTGATCTTTCTCTATACACAGGGAGGATAAATTACATTTTGTTCTGTTTTCCTAATTCCATTATGCTTTGCTCATAAATGACCGTATCTCATTTTCACCTCTATATATTTCAATTTTCTTTTTCTCTTTCATTGATAAGAGTTCCAGTTCTCCACAACTGCCTGTTTTTTCTTTTGCTCTTGACGCATTCAACTACTTCCATATTTTCAATTCCTTGGGCATATTTTGTCTGCCCTGTGTACACATCTGTTGCCTTGAAAGTTATGCTCGAGGACTTTTGATGAGAGGTCTCAAAGAACAGTTTCGAGTGGCAGTGGGTGTCTGAATGAGCCTGGTACTAAACAGAGTTGGGACAGTGCCTTGTCTAAGTTCCAGAGAGGTGTATGGAGTGCTGTTCCAACTTTCTGTTGCATGCAGTCCCCAATGTTAAGCTGGAGAGTCAAATACAATTAAGCAATACATTTTTCTGGTTGTTGTAAAACCTTAGTGAAAGGAATAGACCCATTCTGATGCATAATGGGTCAGTGAGACTTTGACTAATCTCTCTCTAAAGATGTTAGCGGCCTATGAGGCAAAATGTAAATTTGTTCTTCCTTTTGATGCTGAGGCCAGTCTTGCTGATGCCTTCAAGTTTGATTGTAAGGGCAAATCTAAAGTCACTGAGTATGCCAAGTAATAAAGAAAGAAAAGAAAAAACTTTCAGGTCTATATTGTATCAATAACAACTTCTGTTTTTTTATTATGTATCCTTTGTACCTTCTAAGCGAGACTATCATTCTCAAGTCCTTGCTCTTGCCTCAAAAGCTGATGTCATACACACAGGTAGAAAGAGGACATCATGATTTTGAACTGGAAGAGGTTCGGTTAAATTCATCCACTTAAGTTTCCCACACTTTTCCTTCAGAAAGCGAAAGGGTTGCTTAAAATTCATGAACCAGAAAAAAGTGAAGTGTAAAATTTCCTGCAGCTATCTAGTGTGAAAGGCATGTAAATCCTCAAATCCAGGGGAAGTCTATAAACAAACAAATCTCTTTCTCTGAATGCTAATTTTGTACTGTAGAAGCCTGTGTTGCCTTTCTGGAACATCTCGGTACTTGGTAGGGCAGTAAAGACTTGCAGTATCCTACTGGCTGAAATTTGAGTTTCTGAAAACATATCATTTACACTCATTGGTACTATCTGTAGGATCCCAAAACATTCTTTAGAGAAATATTTGTTCTGCTGAGAAATGCCTGTTATTTTTACCTTCTCTGCAATTATTCTGATTTGAGGCAGTTTCTTAAAAGTCCAATTTCTCTTTCCACACAACTCATGTTGCTCTATGCATACAGAACATAGTTTGAATATGCCTACATACCTGCTCATCACCATTTTGCAAGTGCCGAGCAGAAGTAATAAATCTGATACAGTGGAACCTGAATGAGCATTGGACACGGTCCTGCATGCAACTCCCATAGGCAAACTACGGAAATAGATGGTAGCGTTATAAGGATATCTTCATAACTTGAAGAAGTTTTCAAATACTGAAAGAGGAGCTATTACTATTTCACTGCTTACTTGTAGAGCTTATCATTTGGAGTTCTGCAAGGATCAGTCCTGGGTACAGTATGTAGTTAGTAATAGACTGGTAGTTTGGATATCCAGGAGTTTTTTCATGGCAACATAGCTTAAGATAGTTTACCATGAGCTGGTCGCAAAAGAGGTGGAAGGGAGTGGGCAAGTTGAGCTTATTCATCTTCAGATGTAAATCCTACGTGAAAGACTGTGATAAAATGAATAAAAAGTAATTCCTGTAGACACGAGCTCAGAAAAGTCATAGGCAAAATCTGTTCACTTTTTAATGCCTCAAGAGCCACTTTGAACCACTTTGAGGTGAATTCAAAGATGACTTTGGAAGTAAGAAGTCTGGAGATGATGATTCCTGACCACAAAAACATGCAGAAAATAATCAATAATCAAATCAGAGAAACAATAACCTACTTGGTGGTCACAATACTACTAGCTGTATTGTAATTACAGTTCTAATGTGAAACTCTTGACAAAAGTTTCTGGTTAATCAAGTGATCATAAAAATGTTCTGTAAATATACAGAACACAGTAGGTGATAGGGAAGACAAATGGTGAAGATGTGCTTTCCAGTAATTTTTCTACCAAGCTTTTTAGCAGTTTTTACAGTCTTATTTAATACCTGAAAGCCTTTTATATGGATACAGAAAACCATGTCAATTTGTTTTGCTCTCCAATTGAAAGCATTTCTGATAAATATCAAGCTTCTCAGGTTGTTTACTAGGTTGTGC